AAGTGACTATTGCTAGTATTGTTCGTGGTGTAGCGGTTACGATCTCCACTACTGCATGATACAGAAGACGCCAGTTCGAATTCCGAGTCTTTTCTCCAAAAGCGCCGACTGTATGCAGGGATGTTGTGTCCAGCCAACGGAGGGTTGACCTTGATGGGTATGGTAGAATTAGCCCAGCAGGTGGTTGGTGGGTGCTCTGATGTTGCTTGCTCCTTCTTTCCTACAAACATGCGTCATCATGATCTCTCTTTCTTTTTGTATTTATTGTTACTCTCTTGTAACACCTCCAATCTTCGACATTTACATAACCTTATTATGTTGCAAGTGCTGTAAAACCTTTACTAGAACTAAACTAAAATTAAAAAGATAACCGTACTGCAAAATGATCTAAATACTGTAGAAGGAAGGTAAAAAAAAGCACAATTTACAACCTATAGACCGCGCATTACTCTCATTACATCGGTATCGACTACCCGGTACTCAGAGGGAAAACTGGGTACTCGACATCAAGTCTGTCAGGCAGCAATAGGCGCTTGGCACAGTCCCAGATCGTTAATCTGTGTACAGTTGGAGGTGTGTAGTTGTGGCCGACACGAAAAACACAAAGCAGGGCTTAGGGTCACCCAGGGATCATGGACGACCTTTTTGTGTTTGGATTTTTAAGTTAACAGTAATTTAAACAGACATGCTTTACGTGCATCTTGAAAAGTTTCCTGATTTCTAAATCTCAAGTTGAAAAAGCAGTCTGTCTTGTTTAGATTTCTTTTTAGAAAGACAACGAACATTCTATTCCAAATTTTGGGGAATGAGTCCACGACTTTTTCCAAAAGGTATGTACGTCACTCCTGGTGTTTATATTACTTTCCCATTTACTTTGTTTTGTTTGTATTCACTTTGACATACCCCCCCCCTTTCCATTTTCCCCGTCAGATATTTCGAAAGTAAAGCTGTATACCCCTCCTCTCCCTCATCGTTTTCCTCTCACTGAGTCTTTTTGGGATCTAAACAGCCCCCTCCCCTTTCCCTAAGTCATTTTGAGGAAGAACCCCCACCCTCCTCCTCTCGTCCTACCCGCCCCTCCCCCAGTCTCTTTCCACCCCCATATAGCCGTCTTCTCCAATGCCTATTCCAACAATTTTATTTTCTTGACACCAAGTGGAGAGAAAATAATTTCAGCGAGAGTGGGTGGTTGGCGGGTGCTCTGGTGTGGTTTGCTTCTTCTTTCCTATCAAACCATCTATTGTCCTTATCTCTCCTTCATCTTTTTTATGTTTGTTACTCTCTTGTAACAGCTCTAATCTTTTGGCACTCATTATGACCTTATGCAGTTGCGAGCGCCGTAAAACCTCTACTAAAACTAAAACTATAACTTTCAGCGAGAACAAAAATCCTGTAACTAACAGGACATCCCTAAACCTTTTCATGTGAGTTATGTCCGTGACTAATAGTCTATAAAGCGAGTGTTTGGGTTTAACACCAATTTCAACACTATTAGGTTATTCAGGTGGCAGTACCTCCGAATCCAACGTCTATCTCCCATTGGACCAAGCCAAAATGGATTGGGAGCCTTGTAAACTTCTCATAATAGCCCGGGTTCAAGAACCGACAGATGAAGATTCGATCCAAGGCCGTCCCCCTCAATTCAAACGGAAACCTATGTAAAGTACTAAAAACGTGTAGGCCTACTCTCATTCCAAAATCAAGTACAAAGCAAACAATGACGTCATCAGTTATGATATTCTTCACCAAGTTGCACTAATAAAATAGGTGGTGTCGGTGGCCTAGTCGTTAGGCTTTCAGACTCGCAACCGTAAGGTTGAGGGTTTGAATCCCGTCAGGGGCCCGACGTTGTGTCCTTGGGAAAGGCACTTTGCACTATTTTTCCTCAGTTCACCCAGGTGGAAATGGGTACCCGGCTATAAACAGTGATCGATCTTGTCAGTTTGATAGTGTTTGAGCGCGTGAAATCCGCAGCTTGCACTGTATGCGGCTACGGAAGCTGAAAATGTTTTTGAGTGTTTTCAGAGGGTCTGCTGGGGTAATAATAGTTGTAAAGCGCATAGAGCATGCTCTAAAGCATGGGTATGCGCTATGTAAATGCAATTATTATTATTATTATTGAAATAGCCACGACAGCAATAGACACTGGACTCGGATATTTGTGCACCTGCAATTAGTGGCTAACTCGTTTGTCATTCTGGTTACAGCATCGGGTGGTGACAATCGTTAGTATAACAATACGCGAGCGTTCACATGCTATGTACCAGGAACGAAACAAAACAAAACAAACTATCCTCCTAAAAAGAAGAAACCCAGAAAGAAAACCTGAAAGAAGAAGGAAACTCACCCCTCACCCCTCACCCCTCACCCCTCACCCCTCACCCCTCACTCCTCACCCCTCACCCCTCCTCCGGCACGACAAACTAATTCAGACAAGCAGCCCGACTCCAAATGTGAGGCAGGCTGACAAAATGAGTTACTTCTTACAATTCAAGAACTGCCTTTATCATTTGTGAAGCGTTGTGACAAAATAAGTAACTTCTCCAATTTTATCTCCATGGAAATAGATACATCACGCTTATAGGTGACGTTATTACTATTTATAAGTATGAAATCATAAAGGGCATGTTGTACTTTAAAAATATGACATCAATAAGAAATCTACAAATTTGACCCAAGTGTCGATTTTTGGCCAATATCTCCATATGTGGATAGCGAGAAGTAACTCATATTGTAAGCACGTCTCACATTTCATACAATACATTGTACAAACCAAACATTAAAAAATATATGCATTTATTTGTGTCCATCGAGCTAGAATCCGTGAATGAGCTAATTTTGTCAGCACACCTCACAGATGTTTGTCAGTTTGTGGAGAGAAGTGTAAATCAAACCATCTATTCAATTATCGTCCCAGAAGCAATGTAAGCCGTTTCTAGAACAGGGTGTCGGACAAAGACGTTTAATTACTTTAAGTGTTATTCTAGACTAACTCTTGATAGCAACAGACACATTGTGCGTGGTGGAAAAGGGAATCTCTATTTTCCATAATAATTCATCCTCAAAATTTCTCTCGTCTTAAAATTCTATTCAAAGTGCTGCAGAGAATAAGCTTCCGTAAGACGCTGTCTTTAAAAAAAAGTAATACAGTTAAATTTAACTTTCAAATAAATGTTTCTAATCCGCCGAATCGGATGGTGGGGTCTCAAGTTTTGGGTCAGATCTGTAGAAAGGTCACGTGGCGGGTCTCGGAATTTGGACTGGATACATCGAGAACGAGGAAGAGGAAGAAGGACTGGATAATGTTTTGAGACAGCGAGGCTTTAAAAAAGTAATCTTTTGATTTGTCTGAGTGGGGTTTTTTTGTCTGCGTAAGCTTATATTTAGTTATTTTAATGGTGCTAGTACTTTTGTTCATGCGTGTGTCACTGCGCCTGACGTGTCTACTTACATGTATTTTTGTTTTAATTTTTTCTCTCTTTCACTCACCCCCCCCCCTCTCTCTCTCTCTCTCTCTCTCTCTCTCTCTCTCTTTCTCTCTCCTTCTCTCTCTCTCTCTCTCTCTCCTCTATTCTGTATTCTACTCTCCTTCGTCTGTCTGTATCTGTTTGTGCCTCTTCATTTTTTAATCCCCTTTTACCTCTCTTTTTCCGTCTCTCACTCTCTTTCTTTCCCCCTTCACCTTTTTTCTTTCTATCCTACTTCACCTCGCTACACCTTTCTATGTCAATAACTTCTGCCTACCCGGATCTGCTGTTTGGAGGCTATGGCTTGTTCACTTCAACAACAACAACTTCAAACCCCCAAAATGAATCGCTCTAGTAAGTGGAGATGAAAGCAGACGACAGAACCTAGACGTTGTGGCCTAGTAGTTAGGCTCTCGGACTCATAACCGTAAGGTCGTGGGTTCGAATCCCGTCAGGGGCCCGACGTTGTGTTCTTGGGAACGGCACTTTACACGAATTTTCCTCACTTCACCCAGGTGGGAATGGGTACCCAGCTATAGACAGCGCAAGATCTTGTCAGTTTGTTAGTGTTTGAGCGCTTAATCAGCTGCTTGCACTGTATGCTTCCCGGGAAGCTGAGAATGTTTTGGAGTGTTCTATGGTCTGCTGGGGTAATAATATAGTGTAAAGCGCATAGAGCCTGCTGTTGAGCGGGGAATTGCGTTATACAAATGCTATTTATTATTATTATAGAACCTGGTTAGAGAGCACGAGAGGAGGTGAAGGGAGAACACTTTCGAGAAGAAAATGTTTCTGTCGCTGTCAGGTTTCGAACCTTGGACCTTTTGAATGACAGACTAAAACCGTACTTTAAGACCACGAGAGCCACCAGTAAGGATTTAGTATTACGCGGACTGACAAAGTAATTAAGCTGTAGTTTCTTAGCCGCAGCGAGCAAAAATGATGAGTCTGATGACAGAATGGGAAAGTAAGTTCATTTACACGATTTTCCTCACTTCACGCGGGTGGAAATGGGTACCTAAACATAGACAGCGGTAGATTTAGTCATTGCATCTGTGTTTTATCGCCTGTAAAAGGTAGCTTGCACCGTATGCTTCTCAGAAAATTGAGATTGTTTCAGAATGCTATATCAGGTCACTTGGGGTAATAGTATAGAGCTTGCGGCTAGGCGGGAATTTGTGCTATACAATGTCTGTCTTCTATTATTATTATTATTATTATTATTATTATTATTATTATTATCATTATCATTATCATTATTATTATTATTATTATTATTATTATTATTATTATTATTATTATTATTATTATTATTATTATTATTATTATTATTATTTAGTACCTCAGTGTGTGTGTTGGGATTATGTATTATGTATCCAACAGAGGCCAGGATGACCCTGACTGACAGGGTCAAAGCAACCAGCCTCTTAAATGATCTAAACTATGTCAATGGTGGTGTAAAACGTTTACAGTCCTACATTACAATCCTGGTAACCGTTCCTTTTCCCTTTTTGTTTTTCACAGAGAGTTTGCCAACAGCTGTGAGACCCTGACGCCATTGCCAGATATGTTGCTGACAAGCCTTCATTGTGATACGTAGCACTTAGTGAATAATACCAACAGACCCCGAAAAAACCTGTTTCATTTCTGCGTGCAGTCTAGAACAATATACCTGAGCAGGGGATATTAAAAGGGGCCGTTTACTGTAATATCAGAACTATTAATATTGGTAGATTGCCACAGAATAGATTATCACACAGGATTTGGTTGTTTGTATACCAAAGTACGTCGGGAGATTTCTCTGCGGATTGACCTCAAGAACCATGGGCTCCGGCCGGGTGTACCTTCCCAACTTCCCGCCACCTCGGCCCCTGAGGATCACTCTGACCTCTCCAGTACGGAAGACGTCCGTCTATGACCTCAAAGGCGACACGAAAACACAGAACGACCACCGCAAGCCCCAACTCCTCCGCGCCGTCGTGTTTGAGGAAGAAATGCGAGACATCGTCTCCCGCCTCACCAGACCCACCATGGCCTCGCGCATGCGCGCCATAAACTTCCGCCCAGAGACGCAGTACACGTACGTGGACATGGGCTCCTACAAATGGTCCAAGATGCAGATCTACGCGGACTATCAGCGACATATGTACAACAACAACGGCTCAGTCAGGAGTGGCTTCAAACGAACTGTCAAAGCCAACTACAGACCTTTCGTTTAACCAGGACTTTTGTAGTTAGAAACACCCGTTTCCTGTTGAAAGTTAACGTCTTGACGCTTAAATGACCCAACAATGTGCCTCTAGCGCCGTAGAACAAATACCCTAACTAGCTTAGTAGTATGCCATACGGCCCAGGCTCGTCTTGACAAGTAGGGATGAGGCATCCAACTTCCCAAATGCTCCTATGTGACATTTGAAATGTAAATTACTGACACATTTTTGTCTTTACAAAACTATCAAACATTTTTTTTCCGATTTCTAGCTTTCCTTCGGTTTTGAAGATCCTCTTTTCAGTGAAAGGAAAACCTAACTAGGTCAGACGCCGTGTAATCCATTTCAAACACAATTCGTTTTGCCCCTAGTCAGGACTTGGCTGAGGGGACTTGTTCCAGCGCCAACGAGGAACACGATCCAGGTCCCATGAGGATTCCAACCTAGATCATCCGCGTTATAGATAAACTTCGAAATGTGTCAGGATATTCAAATTTTAGACACCATTAATTATTTATACTTTGTCAAGTTTTTTTTAACCTGTAGCTTAAGACGGCAGAAGCTTTTTTGCCTGAAGGGTAAGGCGTTTCATGTCCGGTGATTGGTGGGCGACACTGTTTTGCGACAGCCTCCTTTACTTTCCGTTTATTGATTCTGTCTCTACACATTTCTTGTTTAATTTAACCCTTTGAGCCCTGACCTCCTAAGGCAACCGTGCCCCCCCCCTCTGCTTGAGCTCCTGAGTGATATGTTACTAACATTCATGTGATCATCACATTCACATGGTTGTCCTCGTCATTACTAGCATCATCTAATTCAGAAAGATCTTAAAAATAATCAGGAACATCTCAAGTAGTAAACACAGTTTCCCGCTGTCGTTTTGTACCAAGCAAACCTGTTTGCGTTTAAGGTCTCGCTCACTGCTTTGCTGGTGGTTAGGTATACGGGCAGTTGTACCCGCCACCGGTGAGGGCTCAAAGGGTTAACCCCCTTTGACCACCATAATTTGACCTTTGAAAATGTTTGTAAATGTCAACTGCCATGCCTAATGTGATATTTGAGTCGAGGAATTCCAGCCTGCTATTTCTACTTCTAAAGTGCCAAGAGCTCGATAACATCCTCTCTTAATTAAGAGCATGGAAAACTGTCTTCTTCGTTCACGCGTCGTAGCTTTTTATTTGATTGTTCCTGAAGGCACGTAAATGCTTTTACAGCTTAAGCTTTTTACTAGATCTGTGAGGGTAGCTTTAAGCTGCTTTCTTGATAGTAGCAGTAAGTAGAAAAGAAAACCCACAACTCTTTTCTCTGTTTACCAGCGTGGTGAAAGAACGTACTTACCGTCACTCACTCACTCACTCACTCACTCACTCACTCACTCACTCACTCACTCACTCGCTCATTCATGCACGTACATTCAGTCACTGTTCCTCGTCGAGTGACAGACTAACTGACAAACTGACAGACTTACTGAACGACAGACTGACAGACTGACAGACTGACTGACTAACTGACTCACAGTCAGACTCACTCACTCATTGAATCACTTACTCACTCACTGAATCATTAACTCACTCGCTCACTCGATGACTCACACGTCGCTAAAAATAGAATGGACTATAAACGTTTACCTAACACGCTTTAAACAAGGGAGACTAAGCTACATGGTAAATGTTTAGTGTTAGGGTATGGAATTATCTTCAAAGTTAATAGATAAGAGTAAAAATGAGTGTTGAACAAGCGCTAGGCTTTGAGAACGATGCGGCAGACGAGCGCTGTATTTGTCGTCCTGTGTTGAGTGAATTGAACAAACTAAAAAGACTACTGATGCCAACGTCTTTTTAGCTTTCAATAAAATGTAGGAAAAAAATTTATGGTCCAAATGTTTTCAACTAGAAAAAGAAATAACGTACTGAGTTCAAATGTGTTGGTCTTTTCTGTAAGGAAATTTGGGTGCATTGTTTTGTATGGCAACGAGAGGGAGATGGATAGATGGAGGGAGAGAAGGAAAGAAGGAGTAAGACAGAGAGAGCGGGAAAGAGAGAGAGAGAGAGAAAGAGAGAGAGAGAGAGAGAGAAAGAAAGGAAGAAAGAAAGAAAGAGAGAGAGAGAATGAGAGAGA